TAAGTAAATTTCCCTGAGCATCCTATGAGTGTCAGCAAATCCTCTCCAGGATCACGATAGCAAACTATGAAGGTATGACATATGTATGTATAGCAAACCTGTCACTTGGCTGAGAAGGAATACTGTCCATTCTGGGCTTCAGGCCAGGGTAATTAGGAGGACATTTTGCACATTTGGTTGAAGAATAAGAAAGCATTAAATTGGCAGGTTAATTTAAAAAAGAAAAAAAAAACAATGTCTGCCTAAGGGTGCTCAGTGGTTTAGAAAGTTAGACTAAGTCCTTGCAGAGATGCAATAGTAGGTAGAGGGCAAGTTAGGCTGTCAAAGAATCATGATGTGTTCATCTTTCCAATGGCTCTGTAATTCATTGTATAGTTCTGCCATTTATCATTCAGAGATTATCATGTCAGATGAGGCCCAGTCCTACTGGCTGCCAAGTGCCTTTGACTCCTTGTAGCTCAGACAGTAGGGGACTGTGCTAAACACCTGTTAGAAGCAGAGCTATGTTGGAAAGATGCATATGTTTCTGTATGGATATATTACCACAAGTACTTTTTTGCTAGTTATAGCCTCTCCTAGCCCTCCCATTTTACAACTCTGGTTTCATCTATATAGCTACACAAATCTTTAAGGGATTTTTGTAATCAACTAGTCTAATCTCCTGCATGACAGAAACCATAGGCCATCACCCACAAAACTATAAACCTTCATTTTGCACATATTAATCCAAGGGTCTGATTTACAGAGATATTTAGGAGCCTAAAGATGCAGATTAGCACATTGGAAAATTCTACTTGGAATCTTTAGACACCTATATATTTTTGTCAATATAGCCTCAAGGGATTAAATAACTGTGCAAGGCCATGAAGAAAGTCTAACTCAACAGCAAGGCAAATGATAGGCCCACAGCAACAGCCGGTTGACTCGCATGTTGGATGGCACTGTGAATTATGTGACAAAATAACGTTTATCATGCACTGGTCTGCACCATCATCTATGTGCCCACCATGCTTGGCTGCATCACTGTCTTCCCCAACTATGAAAGGCTCATAACAGTGACATCAGTGTGCAGGCTGATGGATGACTGTTCATGGAAGGAGTCATTTGTATTTTAAGTGGAAAGGAAGTTATTGGGTTCAGTGTTGCTTAGCCTTAGGTAATGTAATGAAGGAAAACATTGTGTTTGGATTTTTCAAGAACTGATGTCTGTGATCAGAATTAAGATTGCCTGTTGCATATGGAAAAGGGCCTGGAGGCAGGGGGGAGGAACAAGCTTGAAAATTTTGTTTGAGCATTTCACATCGTTAGAAAGGAGAGATTCTAAATTTTCTTCTTGAAAACTAGAGGCAATGGTTTTCACACTTCCTAAAGTCACAGAACCCTGTCAAATCACTTCTACTGTGGAACCTCTACCCCTGTCCTGAAGACTGACAGAGCCAGGTGACCTGGCCGGCAATGGCAGCACACTGTCCCATGGCCCAGTCTACCATTATGTGCAGACTCTCATTGTGGAAACCCTGATGACCCATCATGAAACCCTGGGGTCCCAGAGAACACAATTTGAAAATCACTGACCAGAGGTGTAGCTGGGCAGTTCTGCACCCCGTATGGCAGCAGCACACAGGTCAGGAGCTGATCTATCAGATGAGGCAGTCGGGCCATCAGCACAGGGAGCTGCTCTTACTGCCCCTCCCCTTCTCCACCCCAAACTCAGCATCTAGGGCTGGTGTCCCAGTCCCTGACCCACCCCCCCAACATATTACTTACACTGTAGTTGAAAACACAGCACTAAATTCCAGTCCTGAGATGCTAAACCTCATGTTCTATTTGAAAGAGGAGTGTTGTAGACCATTCTTTTAAAAAGTCCTCAAAAAGATGCAAATGAAACATTATGCTCCCTAAAAGATCTGGACAGTTGCACCCAATTTATTGAACGAGTCTGGATTTGCAGATAGAGGCATATGAATAAGGGAGGGTCAATCAAAATTGAAACTTAAAAAAAAAATCTAAAATATTTTTTTTTTTTTGTGAAGTATTCCCTTGGGATAACCCACATAATTCACAAGTGGTGAAACTATTCAAGTAGTGCTGGCCTTTTACATTCAGAAAACAACATTTTTTCAGTATACCACACAGTCCTACATTTTCTCTCTTCTTCTAGCAACCCAAGCAAAAGTACACACATAAAAATGGAGGAATTATATTTCTAAATATAATATATGCCTGCAATCAAACAGGAAAGCATTAAGATTCAGGTTTAATAAAAATTAGAGCCCTAGAAAGCCAGAAAATGTGAAGTTAAGGTAATACATTTACAATTAAACAAACTGGAAGGTAGGGAAATACAGAGCTAATATACCTTGAACACCGTGTAAGGAACAGTAAATTTGCATTTATGACACGTATTCCAGTACGGATAGCAGACATTAATCACATTGCCTGATGCATGACAGGAAAGCATTCAGATACTACATCGCTGAGAGTGGTATAAGAATCTGTAAAGAAATAGAAATAGCTCTGCAGTTAGCTATGAATACCTTTCCAGGGACCCAAGCAGCTAGGGACATTTTAAACATTTTATACTTTGACATGTTGCCTGCAGCTGCAGGCACCTTAAATCATATCCACTATGGTTTACAGAATACATGTAACCTAACTGTAACAATATGCCTCCTTTAAGATGTCCATAGCTATAGGAAGTTCAAAGTACGTTACAAATTACAGTATACATTCAAAACATCACTCATCAGCAACAGCCTCTGGAGCCAGGTCATCAACGAACAAGCTCACAACATGTGGCACAACTGTGTTGGACAAGAAAAGCTTGTATAGTGGCAAGGGAACAGGTCCTGCTTGTACAGTATGAATTGTGAGCTCCTTTAAGAGTTGACAGGGTCCATTTTAAATACCTTACCCGAAAACTACACTACATGGAACTTAACATATCTATTCTGAGGGTGAAAGCTGAATCAAGCAGAGACTCCAAAATTATGTATGTCAAATGTATATGTTTAGACAGCAAAGCAGTGAGGGAGTCAAGTGGCCTGCCTCCTGCCCCATACCCCCTGCTGCCTGTTCCCCTCCCTCCACACACACCACTTGCACCTCTGCTGCATACCTGCCACAGTGCCTGGCCCCACCTTCTTGGCCACTTGCCACCCTCCAGTACCTGTACCTCCCTCACTCCTCCAGCTGCCACTTACCCTCCTTCTCAGCTCCTGTTCTAACCCAGGATAGAGCTGGTCCCCCCAGCCTCCACCAGGCCAGGTAGTAACAGTAGCAGCAGCAGCAGTGGCAGCAGCTCCAGCTCTGGCTCCAACTCAGGGCTGGGCTTGCCACCACTGCAATCACAGCTGCATGTCTGGGAGGATGCCAGAGTAACCATGTTCTCTGTGCCCGGGGCTGGAACTGGAGCTGCGAGGTTGAGTAAGTGGCAGTGGGGAAGGCAGGCACTGGGAGATGCAGTCATGGGGGTACAGGCACCAGGGAAGGGCAAGTGCCAGGGGGCAAGCACTGGAGCAGGCATGAAGCAGGGGTGCAAGTGGTGAGGGGGACAGGTAGCAGGGAACAAGGGGCAGGGGGCAGGCCACTTGATGCCCCCACTGCCTGTTGTCCCCCG